CTCAAGGTGTTTCACCTCCTGTCTGTAGCTGGACTCAACACAGTTTGTGATGTTTCCAACCACTGCTGTATCATCTGCAAACTTCACAATATGACAGCCAGGATGGAGAGGAGAGCAGTCATATGTGAGCAGCGTGAACAGGAGGGGACTCAGCACACAGCCCTGTGGAGAGCCAGTGCTGAGGACTGTGGTGGAGGAGGAGATGTTATGGATCTTCACAGACTGCAGCCTGTTGGTCAGGAAGTCCAGGACCCAGTTGCAAAGTGAAATGCTCAGTCCAAGTGAGGAGAGTTTAGTTATTAGGGTCTGCGGGATTATTGTATTGTTCTGGACAACGATAATAACATAAGGCTGAGTCCATGGGCTGAGTCGGTAGCGTTCGCGCCAGGTGTACGATAATAATCGTATTTTTACGATCAATAATCCTAAAAAAGGCCAAATGTACGATAATTGGACCTTTCCATGAATGTGTCGTCATAATCTGTTGTTTTCTGAATGTCGCAACTTTCTGTCTGAGTTTATTCGCAAAATGCGATTATTTTATGTCTCTGTGATAATCCTACTCTTCTTACCTGCAACGGAAGCATCTGTAGCGTTAGCGTGTTTAATGATCGATGAAGTTTTACCAGATGGATAGAACTTAAAAGAGGGCAGAGCTGTGGCTAGCTGCATCAGTAGCTAACAGGTTAGCCTCTTTTAGCTTGTCCAGCAGGTGTCATATTTCTGTAACCAAGCTCCCATGGTATCCATGCATGGGCATGTCGGGTATAAAGGATTCCCAAAGCTTCTTCAGAAGGAAAATCTGCTCAATAGCAGGAGTGGGCGGCCCCAGACTCACCCTGCAGAACCCTGGACAGGAAAGGAGGCTATGGGAGCCCAAGATATCCAGGGGCCACCCCAGATCACTGGGGGCAGGCATAGGGACGGCTGCACCCCCCACCAGATAGAACCTTCCATCAACCAAACGGTCCAAACCTCCCACCCTGCATGGGAGATATCTGTCCTGGATGTTAGGAAGAGACTCTGACCGCTGGTCTGGGTGGAGCAGTGGGTCTACAGTCCTCTAGAAGAACTGTGGACCAGACCTTCTGAGGGGTCCCATGGGGGCTTGGTCGGCTGGTCACAGCTGTGCACCCCAAGGCACTGTGTTGGTTGCCCTGGCAGTACGGAGTATTTAGACGGGTATCAAAGAGTTCCTGGTCTTTGTTCAACCAAAGCCAGACCCAGTTCTGCTTCCTCAACATGAAGCCTTTTAATGCGGGTCAGAACCTTTGGCCGCAGTAGTCTGGACTGTTCTGGTCTGTCATGGCGGACGGACAAAACTGGGCCTGAAAGCAAAGCTCTTGGTTTCAGTGGTTAAACATCAACATCAGAAGATGTTCTGGATGTTAGCATGTCAGTGTGGTTACAACAGAAAAATAGATAATTTCTCTGTTTTTCGCTCTGGATTTGGTTTTCTATCTACATTTTTAAATGTTTCCACATAAATCAGTCATTTCTGAACATTTGATGACTGCCATCAGAGGCATGTAAGACTGAACAGCAGTGGTTTCACATTGGTTGTAGCTGAGCTCCAAACAACAAGTGCAGAACCGCAGCAGTAGGTGCAGCTAACCATCAGAGCGTTAGCGGCGTAGCTATACCTGATTCTAACGACATGAAACGCTGACCTCAGTCGTATGTCAGCAAAGTCTCCTAAAAACAT